CTATATAAATCTTTAAAACTATGTAACGGATTTTGATGCGATTCTAAATACGATAAATATTGATTTAAGAGGTAGGTTAATACATATATGTATTCTGTATAATAGCATTCATTAAATAGTTTAAAAATTTACTATCAGCATGACAGCCGTTTGAAGCCGGAGCGCACTTTTTTGTGCTAAACTAAACCCTACCATAAAACTGCAAAGTGAACTTCTAAATAAACTTATGAAATTCGTTCTATAAATAGGCACACTGTCTCTCTCACTCTTTAGTTGATAAACAAATATGTTGCAACGATACTTAAACATTTCCTTCAAGGCTATATCATGTTTATTACAGCCTTATAATATATTGACCAATAAAAATGGTAATTTCACGGACAAAATGAAATTAAACCGAGGGGCGTTGTACCAAGAGATTATCTGGCAAGATGAGCAATTTGATATATTATAGCAATTTTATTTATGACTCAAGAAAAGCGAAATGATTCTTTAATCTTCTTTTACATCTTAAATTTTCATGGGGACTTATTTTGCGCTGGGTGACTTATGGGCAAGCGTTATTAATTCGGAATTCAAAATGTTCGGTATTGAGAAAAATTAAATAAATGCAATTCAATATGGAATACGAGGCAAATGAGCAGATGTATCGCCTGATGGTAGAGAAAAAATAGAATAATTGTCTGTCATCACTGAAGCTGTGCGCTCCTTCCAAGGTGTAGATTCGAATGGAGAAGAACGAGCAAGTAACTCCATTTTGTCAAGCGAAAGAGATTACCGGAGGCCTAATTCTTTGTGTTCATCCTCGATCCGCTATCGACAAATCCCTTACGTGTGTTCACGATCCATGGCGATTTTTCATCACCGTTTCTAATAATAGCAAAAAAAAACTATATTTCAAAAAAAAAGCTAACTGGCTCACTCTCACATAAACAGCTCCCAAGTTGAACTAGTGTGCGCTCCACTGGTCCGTGACGTCACACTTATACGGCTAGGCGAAAGGATTTCTATGTCTTTTGCGAGACGTTTTTTATTTCAAGCTTTACGTCCTTTTAATAAAGTTATATATTGAACGGCTGCAGGTAAGCAGACGGCGTCATCTATCAACCTATTCACCATTTGTTTTGTTTTTGTAAATGGTCGATAGTGTTGTTTTAGCAGTGGTATGATAGATTTCCTAGGAAATACGAGGAAAATATTGTACGACTAGTAATCATACGTTCGAGTATTGCCAGAAAGTATAACACGGAAGAAACTTTAACACGTGTTTTAATATTTAACTGCTTGCATGGCGCGGCGGCTGTGTAATTGGCTCCTGAGGAGCGTTGTCGTGTATTCGATTCTCGTACGGAACAACTCTATCTGTGATCCACAAATTGATGTTCCGGGTCTGGGTGTGATGTGTATGTGAAATTGTATGTTTGTAAACGCAACCACCACACAGCAGAAAATCCTAGTATGTGGCATAATTTTTAAACGATTTAATAATACTAATAATCAGTGACTTCCCCCCCGGGTAAGGTAGAGCGAAAGGAAGTTTCAGCATCTTTTTTCCTTGTGTGATAGATCGGCAAAACTAGCAGACTGATTACTGAAAGGCAATCAGTCGGCGTCACAAATGGTTAAGGATTGGGAAGGGATGGGGAAGAGTAAGCCTAAGGACTCCGGAAACCTGACTTACACCGCGAAACAACGCTGTGATTGTTTCACGCCGGTTTTCATTTCGGCACGTGGTACTCATACACACATAGTATTCTTAAACTGGCTCCTGGACGAGCCGTGATAAAATATTGTATAATAAAAAATGCATATTATTAATTCAATATTCATAAAACCGCCTAAAACTCTTTCAGTTCATGAAAAACTACGCGCAAATAAATACATTAACTATTGTCGAAACATTATTGTAGCACGCATCGAACACAATTCACAATTAGGCTATCGCTTCCGAAAACGGCTATTAATTTGTGTTGCCAGCAATAAATTTTAGTTAACCCACATATAGCCGTAGTTTGGGTTTTTCCCTGTTTTTTTTAAACGGTAGTTGATTCCCGGTTGTGGAGTGAATCGGAATAGCCTTTTACAGGCTGAAAATGTAACAAGAAAAGGTATGTACTGTTGGGTGTTTTTAGATTTTTTTTGTTTTGCTTTGTTTAATCAATTTCGCCTTTTGGGAAGCTGCGTCTTAAAGGTTTCTAATAGAGTTTCTTTAAGGGTTTGTTGTACCCATTTCTGTGTTTTTGTGATAAATATGTTGCATTGGTTGGCAAACTGAGTAAAAAAAAAAAACAAATTCCTTGCGTTGAGGAGTTTTTGCCATATGCACCTGTTACTGGAAACAATTATAACAATTTATTTATTTATTTATTTATTTAATTATGGACAACCAGTAGCTGCTACATTATTTCTTACATCTAAACATTAAATACACTATAATAAAATTAAATGTACAGCATTTTAAGGTGTCACAACATGCACAAAATTTTTTCGTAGTGACACAAAAAATAATTAATAAAGAAGAATATAATTTAAAATAGTAGGAAGAGTAATAAGGTAGAAATTGCAAAAATTACGATTCTAAATTAAATTAAAATAAAATAAGTGCTTATTTATAAAACAAAAACATTTTTTTTTTTATTTAAACAAAGTTTATTGGAATTCAGTCCTCCCAAAAACAACTACAATTCACACATAGGACCCATTAAAATAGTAATTATCCCTCATGTTCTTTTTTGTCTTTAAGGCTAAATTCATTCAGTCTTCTGCATCAAATTGACAGTGGGAAGTGGAAAATTTCCGTTTATTCTCGTCTTCAAATAATATCTTCTGATTTTTTGCTTGTGGTTTAGGACCTAATCAAAAATCTAAGACATTTCATTTATTTTTCAACAAACTTCCTCATAAAGTGGCTCTAGTCCCATTGCAATTAGGCACATACTGATACCTCTAATCAAATTGTGACTATTTCATTACTATTTAGTATTTACGAATGAGTTATATAGTTTTTTTTTAATGTTGTTGTTGAGTTACACTTAGACTTGCGCTTAAATGCTATCCGCTAAAAGGCCAAAAATAAAGAAACCTCATTTTTATCTCGTCTCGGGGCTTAACGCGCCTCAGATGCAATCACCAACATTAAACCCTTCTAAAAAAAAGTATCAATATCTTTTACACACATATTATATTACAATAAAAATAAAAAATATCTTCTGTGATGTCTATTTTTTATAATTTTAATTCATATACGAGTACAAGCAAGCAAGCTTGTTTCACACACCATTTTATAATTCTTATTAATCATTTATCAACCGAAAACCAAACCTTAATTAAATTTCAGTCACCAAATGTAAGCAGTGTCGTTTACTGAAATCTGTAAACTCCTGAAAGGTATACGTTACATATTTCATGAGTTCGATCCTTCGTCCAGATGGTGCGTTTTTCAGTACATTACCTACTTCAGATTTTCAGTTCACCTGACGGACGGACCATTCGGTCCACTTGATTCGATTTTATTTTTAGCTTCTACGAATTTGAAATACCAATTCTTAGATCGGAAATATTTTATTTGATTTGGAAAAATTCATGTTGATTCTGGTATTTTTCAAATGAAAATTGTAATAATATTTGTTTTGTTAGTTTTTTTTTATAGTATAAGTCGGCAAACGAGCAGACCGATTACCTGATGGTATGCAATCGGCGCCGCCCATGGACCACCCGCAACACCAAAGGAGTTACGAGTGCGTTGCCGGCCTTTTGGGGATAGGGGTTGCGGATATAAGGATTGTGAAACGATAGGGGAAGGGGAGGGATTGGGCCTCCGGTAACCTCACTAAAACGGCGAAACACAAAGCTGTGGGTTGTTTCACGCCAGTATTCTGTGAGGCCGTGGTATCACTCCGGTCGAGCCGACCCATTCGTGCCGAAGCTTGGCTCTCCCACACTTAATTCAACGGTTTGGTTCGTTGATATTATATTTTAATTTTGATTTAATGTTAAAAACCTTTAAATAAATCCCCTTTTTTTATAAAAGTATTTTTTCCTGAAATTGGAATCAAAACTATTCTGTTTTACATCATATCACATCATCAGCCTGCTACTATTAGTAAGTGTGCACTCAGTGCTTACTGTAGTAGCAACTGCTTACTGCTGAGCAAAGACCTTTTCTGACACGAAGAAGGTTTGAGCATTAATCACCACGTTTGTTCAATGCGGGTTGGCAATTTCAAACTTATAATTAGTTTTATTTTATTTTTAATAGAGAATGTTGCCCCGTGCTGGGATTTTCTGTTTCGTGGGCGCGTAACAAACATACAATTTAACACATCACACCCAGACTCGAAACAACAATTTGTAAATCACACAAAGTGCTGTTCCATGCGGGAATCAAACCAGCGACACGTTGTACTGCAGATGGTCGTCCAGGTACAGCGTCAAACATGCAGTCAACGTTTTCTTAATTTGTGTAAAATGACTTTTTCGAACTTTTTGCGTCTGACATAAGGAATGTGCTCAGCAATGAACACTTATAGGCTGAAAATGATGATGATGAGCGAATGCAAATGCACTCTTTAATGTTTTATGTTTAAGGATCTCCAATAACGTCCTTTTTATACTTCAAAATCGTTTTAACAAATAAAACACCCTGTTCATACTCCAATGTCTTCTTAACATCGATAAACACACATTGAAACACAGGAAAACATTAAGAATAAATACCAATATCAATCTTCAACCTCCTGAATCACCTTCTAATATTACCCACTATAGCGAAACCAATCTGTTTTTCTCATAACCCGAAAACAATTCCAGAAAGGTAACAAAACATTCATCTCTAATAGATTGCGGGGTCTAAAGTACCTTACCTGACCAGGAGCCCGTGAAGCGTTTCATATTTTCGGAATTCAACCCCCGCTGTTGTCCAAATACCTTCCCATTTCGCGTAATAAACGGGTCTTTTGTACCCGTATCAATACAGGGTTAAAATACGAGTGTTATCTATCATGGTGATATATGAACGTGAGTGGGTTATTTTTTATTTTCCAATTATCGTTTGCCGTGTTATAAATGCATAAAGGGTCTAATTATCCATAGCTATTCTATCTTCTCTTCTTACTAGCGTGGGTGAGCCATGCTTAGTGTGTGGGAGCCAAACTTCGGTGCGAATAGGCTGGCTCGACCGGAGTGATACCACGACCACACTGAAACTTAGCGTAAATTCTCTAATCTATAACCAGTGATCACAACTATAATGCGGTCTATAGTGATATCACTACGATTATTTTCCGGGGTTGCGGGGTAAGCGCAATGAGGCACCGTGACCTCGGCCCAGAGCAGGAGAAGGAACAGGGGGGTTTTTAGTCAGTAAGAGTCTGACACTCCCTCTCGCCCGGCCCTGGGCGGGAGAAGTCATTTGAAAATTTTCCCCTCACAAAAAAAAACTACGATTACCTATTTTACAAACATACACATATGAATGTATAATTAGACATATATATAACATTTTACCCAACTTCACAAAGTGCAACTATGAATTTATTCCACATGCTAAAATTAAAAATAGTTCAGTAAACTATTTACACAAACTGTTTTCAGCTACATACATTTCAGGCACAGTTGCTGAAACAAGCTATATGTTTGAACTGAAAACAATATCTAGCTTCTAAACCTTAACGATCTGTAAACTGAAACTCAGCGAAGTATCAAAACGCCTAGTTTTCAGCCTGAAAACTGCTGTAACAGCGAAACAAGGATAAGATTTCACTAGTTTGCTTTTTGTATTGTATTGTCTGATATTCAGTGTAGATTTTAATGAGACGACCTCTGGTAAAGTTAACTGAAACTAGCTTCCGCCCCGCGGCTTTGCCCACGTGGTATGGTGATAAAAAGTATTTTATACCTGTGCCAAATTTCATCCGGATCCGTCCAGATGTTTTGGCGTGATTGAGTAACAAACAGCCAAACATCGTGACTTTCGCATTTATAAAATTAAGTAAGATAACAGAGTCAGACAAGGGACGGTTTCCAGTGTGAGGAAGTACCAGGGTTTTGAATTGTGAGGACTTGGTGGCGATGTGATCTGCTTGAGCTGAGCATCGCCGTATCCTCATGTGGTCGGTGGCGGCGACCTCTCGTGTCCGACCATAGCTAATGTGTGAAAGGTTGCCGACCGTACAGCGCCGTGGGGGGCAACATGTGGGCCACGCTAGAGGAGGATTTACCTTCAACTGTAATCTGTCGGCAGCCAATGTCTTAAGGTCGGCAACCTCTTGGGGATTATGGTTTTGGAGATTTAGGCATTGAAGGAGAAGGACTGGTGCCTTCGGTAACTTCAGCCACACAGCGAAACACAACGCTGTGGTGGTTTCACGCCTGTTTTCTCTGAGGCCGTGGTATCACTCCAATTGAGCCAACCCATTCGTGCAGCATTACAATTATAATCAGCGAAAATACCAAAATTGGTTCGAATAGTTTGTTGGAACAATGAAACGAAAATCGCAGATTTTTTTTAGCTCCGATATCCCTATATTGTGTCCGTGTGAGCAGTTTGATCGTAACAGGCAGGTGCTATAAATCTTTACAAAGTTCCGTCCTGTGGTCGACATTTATTTTGTTTTGTATTCCAATGCCCCCATTGCTTTTAATCACTGAGAGAGAGAATTTTCCACCGATTCCGAAGTTTTATAGCGAAAAGTACCGTATAGATTTATGGGTTTTTTCGCCATGACATGTAACTCCAGAATTGGTTGTTTTTTATTGGTTATACTTTTGGCTCTGGCATGAAGATCGTTTTGGGTTGATATTAAAGGGCTTAAGGTCATAGAACTGTTGAGGGTGTGGCGCGTAGCGTTCCGTGCTTAAAGAGCCAATAGATCACCACAGACGGGCCCTACAGGGCTGATGTTCAGCCGGAGTTGCGGGGTAAGCGCAATGAGGCACCGCGACCTCGGGCCAGAGCAGGAGAAGGAACAGGGGGATTTTTAGATAGTAAGGGTCTAACACTCCCTCCCGCCTCACCCTGGGTGGGAGAAGTCATTTGATGATTTTCCCCTCATCAAAAAAAATGTAATAGTACTGTGTTTAACACTCTGTATTCCCTCACCAACGAAAAAGTAAATTTCTGATTTTCCTCTTCAAGATTAGGTAGTATAATAGAATTAATATAATCGAATGCTGAATATTGTACTACCAGATTACTCTTCCTCTAATATACGGGACGACACATTGTAGGTCGATAAGTATGCGCTTCATCTTGAGATGATAATCTCCTCTTAGTTAATCTAACCTATACGGTAGTGTAAGATAAGGCACGTGAACTGTTCAAGCAAATAACAGGTTCATTTACATGTTAAGCCAAAAAAAAAACACTTATACAGTAATTCGGTTGACGCGGTGGCTGGGCCACTGGCTGGCGCGCAACATGTCGCGGGTTCGATTCCCGCACGGAACAACTCTGTGTGACCCACAGATTATTGTTCCGGGTCTGGGTGTGATGTGCATGTGAAATTGTATGTTTGTAAACGCACCCACGACACAGGAGAAAATCCTAGTGTGGGGCAACGTTTTTTAAAATACTTAAATACACAATCTAAGAATATGTATCACTTCACGGTGAGGATTGATATCACTCCATTCTCGTTCTGAAATTTTCGTCTCTCACAAATTTTAACTGAAGGAACATAATTATTTAAGTATATGAAATTAAACATTGAGCAATATCGATTATTGTGCGGTCGAAATTAAAGAAAACATCTTCATCTGTCTTAAAAACTTTTTTACTGTATCGTTCAAAAAGTTTCCAATTTTTTCCGAAAAAAATCGACAATGTCATACTAATAGGTTTTATTTTATTTCTGCAGCTCTATTTTTAGTCGTAGGTTTAAGTATTGTTTTGTTTGTTATTTTCTATTTCTCTTTTTCCCGTTGTTCTAGTTTGTCACAGTGTCTTATGTCTCTTACATTTTTCCTTTCGAAGGACTGCAGGAAGAGATTCCATATAAGAATATGCAGTTCCTATGTACCTCTGTTTCTGTATTTCTTGTTCTCTATTTACTGTATGTGTGATGTCCATAAATAATAAATAAATATCTAAAGCTACTCCATCTCTTGTTTCAGGTGAAACCATAACTCCAGATAACTCAACAATAACAAGAGTGCTGCCTCTGACTGTGACTCGCGAAGAATTGGGAGGGGAACTGACTTGTGTCGTCAGCTCCGCAGCCCTGGATGCTGATATTGTGAAGAAAGTTAAGCTGGATGTTAGAGGTAAGTGGAGAAAACTATTACTTTTGGATTAAAGGGACCATTCTTTTCATCTGATGGTAAGCAATAAATGTCACCTAGGGACTCAGACAAGTTAGAAGCCGGACATGGAAGGAATTCGGACCCCAGAAAAGAATGCAGGCGTTTTTCACTACTTATTTTGATGAGAAGCTTTAGAACCGGCGTATCTGCCCTGTGGTATGACAGACATTTAAAGCTTTTCTTTATTTAGCGTAGTTGTTCGGCAATTGGCTGATTCGCACTACAAATAGCGATTTATGTGATCAAAAATGGTATAATTTAATCATGTTTGCAAAAGAAATTTCGCGCAGGGAGCTAGCACTAACATAAAGTAAAATCTCACCAGTTGATTACACAAATTTTGTGGGACAATTATAAAAAACGTACGCAGAAGTTCTTCGAAATCAATGTAAAAATTACACTAAAAAAGGCACCAAAGCATAATAATACTATTAAATCCACAACAGCGCACATTTAACCATCAAAACCACTAAATCCATTTACATTTTTTAAATAAAATAAGATCTTTCTCAGACTGGAATGTACACACGAATGCACACATCGCATTCAACGTGTCGATTCAATAGCCAGCGCCAGTGAAGATTCTATACGAAGTTTTTCGCGAAGACGCTTCATTGGTCTTTTCATACGCGTCACTAATAGAAATTCTGACTAAGTAGTCACTGAATAAGAAACTGTTGATTTGAAATGTGATTTTATAATTTTCTTAGATTAACCTTGTCAAAATCAAAGTCATATTAAAAATAATACGAGCTTTGGGTCCATTAAAATTAGCACTGAAAAATATGTAGTCATAAAATGTTAAAATTTAAAATGACATGTATTCTCATGAAACTATTTAGAGAGTTTACTTTCCCTATGGTATTTTTTCTATTTACAGCTAACCCGATCTTTCGTTTTTAACACATTGCCAATAAATAACTCTCTCAATCTCAATTTCCACAAAAAAATCTTGGAAAATTAGAACATAGTTTTACAAGCTGACGAATCAAAAAACATTCCAAAATAAAAAATGGCCAAGTTCACTACGAATCCCAAACGTCATATTCTTGACACACAACCGTCCATTATTTGTCGGACACTTGTCAGAGTCACGTCAAAAATGTGTCAACGTCACGTCTGACCCGGGTTTTATTCCCAATATTCAAACGTCAAAGATGTGAGATTCTGTAGAATGACACTTTAGTCCTTGGAGACACTTTTGCTCAACTTAAGTCAAAGTTGGCACCAACTTGGAATTGTGGTGAATCATGTTAAAATTATAATGTAACTTTAGTACGAACAAGTTTAACATTCGGTAATTATTCGATAGATGTGGCGCTGTTTAGGTTTCGTGAATACGTGATCCGTGGTCCTTCGGTACGAATGTGGATAATTTGTGTTTAAATATTTTGAAATGTTATTTATTATGTTTTCGGCTTATTCACGTAATAATTTGACGAGATACTCGACTAGTTTCAAGCCATGCTAAAGGTCCATATTCATGAGCAGCATGGCTTGAAACTAGTCGAGTATCTCGTCAAATTATTACGTGATTAAGCCGAAAAGATAATAAATAATTTAGAATGTCTCACGAAAGTTAAAATTAAAATATTTTGTTTTTTTTTATAAATGCCAAAAGTTTGAACATCGGTTTTATTATCTTGGTTTGATCGTTGACCGTGGACTGGGCAGGTTTAATAATTCTTTATTAAGGATTCTCCTTGATAAGGTCATCAGATAGGCCCATCAAAATGAATAAAGGTGAACCCCAGTCTACCCACATAAAAATACTCTCTAATTTAACACCTACTTGACTAATTAATACAAAATTAAGCCATTAATAATACTCAAAAGCCCACCCACATAATTTGCACAAATAAAAATGTCAAGTTCCACCAAAAATAAGTAAATTTGCTCCCTAAAAACTCAATAGCCATTAAACCTTAAAATTGGACCCAATTTTTCTAACCGCCATCTTACTAGCGTTGTCTGTATAATTGAACACATTAATAAAACGGTATCAGCAGGGCAACTAAATGAAAATTTATTCCTTTGCTAAATTAAACACGAAAAAGTTAACGAATTAGAGTCAAGGGCTTACACGATTTAAGAGTTTTCGTTGGAATTATGTGAGAATTTAAACTGGATTCTGGATGTAATCTATTGATCTGTTTTTGTAACTAATTCTTAAGACTTTAGTTATCTGATCGTTTTGAATATGTTTTTGAAAATGGATCTGTAGACCTATGGAAAGTATAATAACTCATAAAAAAAATTCACTTACTTTCAGAGAACTTAAATGCTTGAAATATCTACTACACTTATGAAAGTTTAACAAGTTTGAACGATTGCAAAAAAATAGGATACAAAAATAACACTTTGAAAGTAAATTATTTACATCCAAATGTATTTTGGCGTAAGATATACTTACGCCAAAATACAATTGACACCAGGTTATTTTTCATTGTCATTAACCAAACTTGCCTTCATCCTATCTTTCAATTCATCCAATTGGAGTCGTTCCACACTCATTAATTGTAACACATAACACAGAAACAAATCAAGAACTCTCGACCAATTAGGTTCAAACCTATTACCCATCCCATTTTCCAAAATGTTTCTTAACTCAAAACATTGTTGTAATTACATAGTACTTTGTGTCCTTAGAATCAAAGGGACAGTTTAGGGATCGAACCCGTTCTACTTCGATGGTTGTTGCGTGGAGTTGTTTATTAATTGTCAATTTATTGGCTAATACAGTGTTATTGGATGGGGAGGGTACTACGGATGTTTGGGACGCGAATTTATTACGAAGATTAGGGCTTCGACTCAGCGAGTTTTGTTAAGTGACATGACTTTGTAACTTTTTGATATCATGCTCTGCGTACAGTCAATTAAATATTAGAATAAAATTTTACACTTACCATTCATGCTTTTTACCGTTTAATTAGAACACTCTACATTACCTTTCATGCTTTTGACTGTATATAAAATCTAAGGAAAATTATTGTAAAACAACCAATATGTAACTGTATGCAAATATCTAGGCTATAGTTTAATTCGTACCGAAGGACCATTCAAAGTAAAAGTACAGACTTCATAGTCCGATGAGGTTACGCGGCACTACTGCCTCGGCCTGAAGCAGGACAAGGAATGGAGGGCTTTTAATCCATAAGGGTCTGACACGTCACAAGAGTCTCGCGAAGTCATTTGATGAATTTCTCCACACTAAAAAAAATAGACTTCATAGTCAACTCCGCATTTTACCACCATACACACAAAATCATAACAAATGTACACAATATGTCCTAAAAATTAATACAGCAGAAACATATAAATGAAAACTAAAATCATCTACGAAATTTGTGTAAACCAATTAGATCCACCCTGAGCCCCCAAACACAACCCCACTGTAAGGCTACGTTGAACCATCGCTTTACTAACTTCGACACTACACTAGCGAGCAATTTTCAGAGCCCAGCCGATAAATTGCGAGACCATATAGCTAATAAGTGGCGAGATAGTGTAGCGTAGTGATGTGATTGGAGTATTGTAATTTTTATCGATACTGGTAATGTGTCGTTCAATATGTTAAGTTGTGTTTCTATAAGATACTAGCTTCGTGGCGTGTATACTAGCGTGGTAGATAAAAAATTACCTATAATATATTAATCCACCTATCTACATACCAAATCGGTGCAGCCGTTTTTGCATGAAAGAATAATACACATAATACTGGTAGCATTATTATTAAGGACTAGACAATAGATTCTCTTCTTCACTGATATTCTGTATTGTTTTAAAGAGTTGATAAAAGTCCCTGGAACGCACTGGCCTTCAGTATTACGGTGATTTCATAGCTGTATCTACTAAAAATGCTGGCTTAAAGGAATTAAATTTGTTTTGGGAGACTGATGCGGGCTTGTCTAATTAAGAATAATTCGACATTAAAATAATTAAATGATATATAAAAATTAAATAACTAGCTTTATCGACGTTTAACATAATGTTATTGAGTGCCTGTCAGTAAATTTATTAATTAATATGACTTTAGTATTTTATTTTACTCAAGAAAAATATAGACTTATGAGTATATGATTACATTAGTCCACAAAGCGTGACATTCTAACATGCATCTATGCATGTAAGAGAAAAGTAAATGTAAGATAACTCTGTTTCTGAAACTGATTGAACAAGAATAACCATGGAGTTTCTAGCTTGTTCTTCTCCATCGGAATCTACACTTTTGGACGAGCAAATAGCTTCACTAAGAGGACTGACCTACAGACTGTCAGTTTTTATCTTTAAACTTTGTTTGACGTTCAAAAGTGTCTAAAATTAATGATTTTGAGTTTTAGTTAAGAAGTTAATTTGAACTATACAAAGTCCTCCAATCAAAAAATATAACTAATTAAAAATTATTGCTTCACACACCTCTCAAGAATTAACTATGAAAAAATCACTATCTACAAAAAGAACGTCTAAAAAATTTATTACAGGTCTTTACTATTAAATCCCGAGATGGAGGCTTCTACTCTAATTAGGTTAAGTAAACCATTTCTAGGACGCCGGTACCCACGACCTGACATTTAGGATCTTTCCTGTCATTCCCATATCTTGTGGACGCTCCTAAGCGGTCAGATTATAGACCTTTGAAATTTATTAGTTTGTTGAATCGTGAAGACGGTGTACGGATGTTAGTCTGATTGTTGCCTTGAATTTATCGCTTGGTGATTATTTGGGAGTATCTTAGTAGATAAACTTGGATAGAAGATCTTTTGTGTCTTAGTACACATTTTTTTGTATATAGGACGATTGAATAAAGAACTATAAAAATCGTCCAAGTACAAGTCAGGTTTGCCATCAAAAGTCGTCGTACCAAAATTGCGTTTCTTGTATAAGCAGTTCATGATATACATACATTTAGCCTGGTTACAGACAAACAGTCTTATTATTAGGTTTTTCGTTTTTACCCTTTATTTACATAACCCTTAATTTTTACTACCAAATAAGTCTAATTGTACCAACTACGTAAGTTTTAAAAAAGTCTATGGAACGAACGTTATCCAAACTACAGTTTCCTATTAGTAATAACGTTATAATGAGCCATTTGTTGGGAACGTGATATTTTCTAAACTTGTGTCTTATAATATGTACTTAAAACCTGTGTATATCTTAATCAGCATATATTGTTTATGTAATAAATGTATATTTGTAGTCTAACCAAAGTACTTTGACTTTTGACTTTTCATCACAACAATAAAAAACAATATCTCGGGAGAAATTGGTTGGCTATCTGGCCACTGAACATCGGTATCGACACATTCCCAACCCTACAAGTAACGGGGTCGGGAATTTTACCACCTTGCAATATCGGGGGTCGATGGGATCTCAGGGGTGGGCCAGTGTTGGACACTACACGAATATCTATGTACGAATATTTGAGTTGTGGTGCTCTAATGAATGTTAGTATAGTGGAGAAATAACTAGGTATTAGGTGGAAACTAGGGTAATAACGCATACATACTAGGTATTAAGGTATGTAGGTAGAGTACAAACATTACAATATGCTTACACAACGTTTTAATGACTTGCAATTTTAGATACGTGTTGAAATTCAGATTGCGAATGCAATGTACAATGTAAATGTACCAGTGATAAAAAAACTGGTAAGATCAAGTTACAATTCAAACTTTATGTATTTACAACAGCAAATACACATTCAGAGTTAGACAGTTAGACTGCACGGTTGGCGCGGTGGCTGAGCAACTGGCTGCCGTGCAACGTGTCGCGGGTTTCGATTCCCGCACGGTACAACACGGTACTCTTTGCGTGATCCACAAATTGTTGTTCCGGGTCTGGGTGTGATGTGTATATGAATTTGTATGTTTGTAAGCGCACCCACGACACAGAAGAAAAACCAAGGGTGGGGCAACGTTTTTAAAAAAAACGTCATCAGCATGTCAGACAAAATACCAACTAACTTCCAGAGCAACCTAATGACAGCTACCTGCAATCTACATCACATTAACACAAAAAAAAACATTAATCGTACAGTTAAAAACCATTCTTTACTAAGTACCAAAAGACCAGAAACTTTAAAACGATACCAAAAGGACCAAATAGCACCAAGTTCTTCTTTAAGCGAAAAAATGGTGAAACATTTTCCACTAACGCTCTCAAACATTCTTTACAAAGTTATCCCGAGTCTAGAATACTTATTAGCAGTATTCTTTGCTAATTATGCCACGTAAATTACCCCTTACTCCAGAATATAGGGTAATAGTGCAAGCGATGGAAAGACTACCTGTTACTTTAGTTATATGGTCTAGTTTAAAACGTTGCCTTGGGTTTAATGGGTTCAACTCTATTTGGTGCGCTAATTAGTGCTCTAGAAATTGGATTGGGTTCTTGATAGTGATCTGTGTTTTTTATTCTAGGCTAAGAAATAGCTTGGCAAGAGAGGGACCTGGTCCAGTTGGTTATACTTGGTCTTTAAGCATGACAAATAATTGTGTCACGCTTAAAGACCAAACCAATAAATATTTTCTTCCTTTGATTCATTTTTTAATAAAGCCTGCGTGTATTTGAAACTCCATCTCAAGTGTTTGGATAAAACTTTCCTTGATAGTACCGACACAATGATTATGCATCCTAGAGGAAACGTAGCTAGAACAAATTTATGACTTAATTATAAAAAAAATGTATTTTCCGCAACCATCATCATCTTCCTGCCCTTGTCCCGTTTTATTTGGGGTCGGCGCAATATGTTTTTTTCTTCCATTTTGTCCTGTCACCCGTCACGCTATCACTGACTCCTCTGTCTTCCATATTATTTCTCACACAATCCATCCATATTTTCTTTGGTCTCCCTCTCCCTCTCCATCCATCCACATTTATACTCATGGCTTATTTTGTAACACAGATAATGGTTGTGTATTTTCTACAACCATTATCTTACAATTCTACAGTTTAAGATCGGAGTACAATTAAAACTAAACACTTACCAAAAAGCACTGCTACAAAAACCATCTCATATATTTTCAAAACTCATAATTTCCACACAACCTACGACATAATACGGAGTAGCAAGGATAAATGAATTAGGCCGCTCAAAATATACCAATTTCTCTTCTGCCTAATAGATTCCTACTGGTTATTAACTCCGTTAACTTAACACGATATCTATTGGGGCGGGAATAATTATCTTTAATTAATAGAGGTGAATATGCCTATTCACAACAGCGATCTAGTAGATAATTATGGTAAAGATCTTGGTACTATTATTATGATGGGAAATATGAATTATATGATTCAATTTGTTTACAAATTGATACTGAATTTTTTACATTGGTGTTATGGCGTGGTGCTCAATAAATAATGACAAGACTATTGCAAGAAGTTTATGTTTTGATATCTTGCAAGTTTTAGTGTGTTTTTGTCCGAGTATTACGTACTTTCTATGTTTATTATGACACCACCATAAAACGGTGGAGGAAAACTTTGTTTATTTTAAAAGCGTTTTGTTAATGCTCGAAAACTTCTTCGTGAAAAAGAGGCCTTTGTTCAGCAGTTAATACTTATAAACTAGTAATGGTACATGCTTTTTATAATGTCAATTTACCACTACAAACCGCCTGTATTCCATAGGAGTAGATAGTAAAACGAAGTGCCAGCTACTGTGATTCTAATGACAGACTTCTTAATTTTCTTTTAATCACACTAATATATTGCTCAAGTTTCAAATTTTGTCAAGAATCTCTACAATATAATAATAATAATGTCTCAATCTATTCTAAAAGTAACACATTTTTATCATTAATTATTGGGTATTCAGATTTTTTCTTATAGAAATATCTATAACTGCTAGACACTGAATGCAAAAAATGTGTTACTAAAATCTCTGGAACATAAATATGGAGTGTCGGAGAAGTATACTAAATTAAAGCTCACCTTACTTCTTCGAAGAATCACTTATAAGACGTAATCTTATCCTGCAATATACTATTACTCCTCATAATTTTCCATTATTATATAATAATTCCTAGAACTATCTAGCTTCATTTATTGACCTAATCCTTTTCTTCATCCAACCATCTTTGTGGCAACATTAAATATCAAATCCATATACAATGCGTACCTAAGCAACAACAAGTAGAATATCCAATACAAAATGAGTTTGATTCTTCTCCATCCATTGTCAATATTCCTCTCACAGAATGTAATCAGGTATTAATTAACGTTTGAGTAACTGAAAGGTATTTCTTTCCTTTCAATTACAGTATATTATGTCACGTAATAGATTGGCGTTCATAGTCAATCAGAGGGCCGATAATAGGAGCTACCCTATTACTTTTGTAACTATTGAACTTGGACGCGTGAGTTTGTCCAAAGTAATAAAAGGTAATGTTTTGTCTCGAAGTTATTTATCCAGTTTTCTGTTCTCAAATATTGCAGTGTTATGTTTTCTTGTCGTATGAATAATATATTTCAAATTGGTGTCTTCTAAAACACATTTTTGCACTCGTAGCCGTGTATCATTGCATGGCATCGGTGAACTAGACACTGCACAAATTATACCTATACTCAATTTTAACAATTTCTGTCTAGTCTACTGACTACTTATATTAAAAAATCACAATTACGTAAAACTAAAAAAGATTGGTGAACACATATTGTAAAATAGTAGAAATATTTATTAAAAAAGAATTGTTTGAAAAAAAGCTAACAAAAGTTGATCAACATCAAATAAAGAAAATCACTTCGAAATATGATTACTGTAATAAATTATTTAAAAAAAAACGTCAATGGATTCCTGGAACATTCACTAGGAGGGAAGAAAATGAAATCTAATAAAACTTCATAAAAAACTTAGGGTACTACGAAACTTGGTCCTTTTCGTCCCGAAGGACCAATCCCATCTGAGGACGAGACGACGAACCATTATACGTTTCTATACGTTTAAAGCTATGTGTACGGTGTGAGCGATTTTGTAAGCTATTCCTTTTCACACAAGCTTTTTGGAGGATTCCACTAAAGAGGTGTTTTGGTCCTAGAGTTCAAAAAATGAAAAATGTTATAAACCACCAATTCGTTATAAGTGAGAGTCATGATCATGCTAAATTTAAATACGCCGTTTTTATTATAAAAGAAAGCATTGTTTAATTGAACTTAAAAACATGCTTAATGTTAGATAAACAAATCAATAATAAAAAAGTTTTGGTCCTTTCTTTGTAACCACAGCCTAAGAAACAGCCAATGTAACTGATCGGGCATATTTCAACCTTACCGACAATCCTGATACTACGACAATCCTAGTAGAAACTTTTAAAAAACATTTATTAAAAAATCTTAAAAATATGAACAATGTAATTTTATGGAAGCAAATAGTTTGTCAAATATTTTTTTTTCAATCAATTTCTATTTTTGTTTAAGGAAACATCAAGTAATATTTTATATCTCAAATATTTTTTTCTGATATGTTTTTGTTCTACCGTTTTGTTGATGCTTCGTACTAGAACTTACCTATATATAATAATATTATAAATGCGGAAGTCTGTCTGTCAGTCGGTCTTTTCTTCGCGCCTAAACTACTACATAGGAAAGTTTGTATACGAAAAATCTACAGGAAGTCACTGTTCTACAAATACATGTTTTTGACATTTAAATTCATAACACAACTAGATGTGTATTTTAATGACCTCTCAAAGACAGCCATTAAAACCCAGCCACTGTGCTAGCTTAAGTCAATAAATCTGTGTTTTTACGTAACAACTCTTGTAAGAAATAATTAATTAGATAAACAAACGATTGAACCATCGAAATATTTTGAACCATGTTCGAAAAATTTTTTCATTATTATGAGCTCCAAGAATAGCTTGAAACTATTCGCGTTGTCCTGTGAAATAACTAATTAGCCGTAAAATCATTAATTAATGTCTTCTAAAAATAATACTGATCAATATTACTCTTCCAGTTCCTCCAAACAAGGCGCTGATCACCGGAGTTGGTGAGCATGCGACGCAGGGCACCCTTCTGACCCTGACCTGCACAGCATTAGGGGCGCGGCCAGCAGCCAAGATCCAGTGGTACAATGGCACAGAGAAACTTAACGCTGATGACCAGAATATACATGTGAGTATAGTATTTATGTTATATAAATATGACGTGGCTCCAGAGGTTTTTTCAGACTAAGAATCTTAGAGGCTATTATGTTTTAATATTAAGACACGCGCTGACAGAAAAACACCATTTTATACCCACATTTTCATCAATTTATAAAATATTATCTAAACATACCATAACAGGATTCCTTAATACGACTGATAGACCTTGACCTTGAAAATAACCTAATATTAAGAAGAGTAGGTTAAAATATACAAGCTAAAAGTTACTACCTATATAGAGTCTCATCAGATTGCTACGTCGTATTGGGCACAAGAACGACATATGACAGAAACCTTAAAGCCGAGCTCTCTGATACACTTGCCCTAATTTTGAAACCACGTCTTCCACGTCTCCCTAGCTTCCAAGGGGTTTTTGAAGAGGAAAAATTCCAGGGTATGGTAAAAGAAGTGTCTTACACTTGCAGACTTCAAACCACGTTAGTTTTCCTGCTTCGAGTGGAAACTATTTTTGCTTTCTTATCTTTTAATAATATCACCTAATTTATTTCGTTGCGGGATCCAAGATAGTCTCATGTCTTTAGGTTGCGATGTTTCCATAGTTATACATACTATAGACAAGAGTTGCAGCGGTTTTGGGAGGAAGTGGCAGTAATTTAAGGGTAAGACATAAATATCTTTAATATAGCAGTGGAATACCATAGCATACAGGTTATTGACCCACGAGGAACTAGGGGATCGAAAGCCATCGCAGTTCATGAGGCATCTACACGCTATTGATATAGGGGTTGAAACTGGTATTCGAATAGTTATGTAAATCCCAAAGCCATGGAAGCCCTTTTTCGTACTTCTACCAGCGTTTAAACGTATTTTGTCTAGTGGAACTGCTGATTTTTAAAGTAATAAGAGTGGAATAAAACCCTAATTGACAATTCTTAAGCTATAATTAGCTCCCCCATTGTACATTGTGCAAGAAGTGTAAAATCCAAACTATCCAAACTAATATTATAAATGCGAAAGTAACTCAGTCTGTCTGTCTTTTCTTCACCCCTAAATTACTGAACCGATTTCTGTGAAATTTGGTACAGTCATAGTTTGGACCTCGAGAAAGGACATAGTATAGTTTTTATATCAAAAATCTGCAGGAAGTCACTATTCCACGCGAACGGAGTCGCGGACCAGAACTAGTAATAAATAAATTTCTGATAAAGAGACCCTAGACATTGTTCCCGATGATTTTACGTTTACTTCAACTAATCAAATCAAAATCATTTATTCCAACTAAACCATAAATAGGTACTTTTGAAACGTCAAAATAGAATAGTAGTCTGTCAGTCTGTTCGTCAGTGAAGCTAGGTGCTTGTTCCAAATTGTAGTTTCGAATGGAGAAGAACGAGCAAGAAACTCCATCGTTACTATTTTAAAAAAATATTTGTTTTACAATTCACCAATAATACATTTTTTATTCATTACTGCACCCCTATGTGAGAATCATGCAGAGACAAGTTGTTACTAAAAAGGACAACTAATAATTTTATGTAATTTATCAACATAAGTTACAAGGATGAATCTGTGCACTGTTTGCAAATGTTTCTGGTACGGATAACGGATATACTTCAAGATCAGGAAACAGGGTAAATGTCAAAATTCCGGTAATAATCAGGGTAACGGGAGAATGGAGTGAGACAGTGTCTCAGGGCTGTGTGTACTGGTTTTCCGAAAACTGTAATTTTGAATACACGGTTTTTGCTGCGGTTGGACAACTATCTGCTGCACTGCTTACGTGTCGTCGGATCAATTATCATGCGTAATAGTTTTTATTTTTAATTTTTTTTTTATGTAATGGGATGCCAAACTATCTTACACATTACCTGATGGTAAGCAATCAGCGCCGCCCATGGACTCCCGCAACAATATAGATTGGGGAGGAATTAGATGAGGGACAGGATAGGGCCTTCGGTAACCTGACTTACACGGCGAGACACAACGCTGTGGTTGTTTCACGACGGTTTTCTGTGAGGCCATGGTATCACGCCGGTCGAGTCGATCCATTCGTGCCGAAGCATGGTTCTCCTACACTTATTTTTTTTTCTTTTGATCGACACATCGTTGGTTAAACTTCTGAGCGTGAGAATTATGTTAAATTTTTCCAGCCAAGCACATCGAGCGAGCGCCTTGATAGGACGAGAGGAAGTGTCTGACTCTTACTGACTAAACACCACTACGTTCCTTCTCCTGCTCCAGGCCGGTTTATTGCCTGATGATTCTTATAAAACGGATAATACCATCACATGCTCCTCTCCTTCTTCGCTAGAATGACCGCTTCGCAGAAAGAAGAGACGGCTTTCAGTTCCTCCCGCTTCACCTCAACCTCCATTAAGGCCGGTCGCGAGAGGATGCCCAAGCAAAGCACACTGCCACCGTATGTTTCTATATCCCTAACCCTCCAGGTGGTGCGCGCGGTTCACCGGGATAGAGTAAGAGCTAAACCACTTAATTTTTAAACCCCTTCACCAAAAAACCAAAAACCGCACAAAGAACTTTTTCAAAACAAATTCGTCCGTCACATCTATCATATAAAAAACAAAAACCTATCATAAATAATAATAATCTTGCATACACAAATTTCACAACCCTAAGCTCGCAGTATGCTCAAGACGAACCGTATTGCAATGAGATCGCGAACGTGAGTTACTTTAAATTCGGTAATGAAGACAAATTCGTGCAGTGACAACCCTAGCGCTGAGTGGAAATGAAACATAATTTGTTTATGGTACCTACATACTTATGTACAAGATTAATGTATTATGATTTGGCAATGTGTTTTTGCTTTCTGGAAGATTTATTTTGGTCTTTTGAGACGTGAGCGAGTTGTTTCGTTTTTGTATTGCTATTTAGTCAGGATTTGTACAATACGTGTTTAGGAATTTAGAAGACACACAAATAAACACAGATTTGTTATGAATAAGTGTGAATGTGTGTTTATAACTTAAAAATAGTTTGTCCCAAAACTTTCGTTCTTTCTTTTGTGACTTTAAAATTAATTTATTAATTTTTTTTTCATAAAAACTAATAAAAATTAAGTCTCCTGTGTTTGCGGTCGGTAACTGCCTCACAGATTACCGACGTGAAACAACCACAGCGTTGTGTTTCGCCGTGTAAGTAAGGTTACCGGAGGCCCAATCCTTCCCATCCCCCGATCCCTCCTAATAACTAAATCTCCAAAACCCTAATCCCTAAAAGGTCGGCAACGCACTCGTTACTCCTCCGTTGCGGGTGTCCATGGGCGGCGCTGATTACTTGCCATTAGGCAATCCGTCTGCTCGTTTATCGACAAACATACAAGTCACAACAATCTGTGGATTACACAGTGTTGCTCTGTGCAGGAATCGAATTAAGTAATAAGATCGTTATAAGTATTTTAAGACATATTTAATTAACTGATAATAACGGCTTACTCACGTGAAATGACTAAATCTGTTGCCGCGAGAAATCAAAGATCTATTTTAAGAATGAACACAAATTATGGGATTATCTGTGGCTGAAAAAAGATTCAAAAGCCATTCAGAGCCTCTATTTGTAACTTGAATTACTCATAAAATTATACCGTCGTTGGTTAATCAGATATCAAAATTAAATGGCCAAACTAATGAAGGCTAGAAGGCCACTATTCTAATTTGAAGCAATTTAGATAATTCATAGGATAACAGGAAAGAGTACTAATACAACTTTTAAGTGTGAAACCCATGGCTCGGTTCGACCGGAGTGATACGACGGCCTTACAGAAAACCGGCGTGAAACAACCACAGCGTTGTGTTTCGTCGTGTGAATGAAGTTACCGGAGCCCGAATCCTTCCCCTCCCCAATCCCAAAATCTCCAAATCCCTAATCCCCTAAAGGTCGCGAAAGCACTCGTAAGTCCTCTGTTTTTGCGGATGTCAATGGGCGGCGCTGATTGCTTACCATCACATAATCCGATAGCTCATTTATTTTTCGACCTATCACATAAAAAAGCCCAAAATACATTTGATCTTATTCCCTCTGCTAAAGGAGAAACGCCCACTTACTAAAACTTTTCTCTGTATTGAGGAGAATAACCAAACAATCCTATTTCAAAACACTACCGAGCAACACTTTATAAGCCTTTTTTTACCTTTTTTAGGAAAAAAAACTTTCAGGTGCTGAAAAATACTGAATTGAATTCCGTTACCTACGGGGGATTGTGAAAAACTTTTGAAATTTACTGTTGGTGCCTATTTTCCATAGACGTTTTCGTTTGAAGGCTTTATTTTTGTAAAACAAACATCGGGAGGCCTAATTAATTTTCAGGGTGTACAAACATTATTACAGTTAGAGTATAAATGTTATGTAGAGCGTTAATTATGCTAATTAGAATATATATGTCTACTTTAAAATAAATATTTGCTTTTAAAATTAAAATCCATATTCTCTTTTACAATTAGCTTGCGTTCAATAAAATAAACATTATATAAACAGACTTTTCCAATCTTTGTGTTTTTTTCTATGAAATGGTCGAACGTAGTATTGGTAGTACGTCAATTGCGGGCCTTATTGGCTATAATTTTTACGCAACATTTGCAAGTTGTAAGCGAATGCAGTCGGTATAAATTAGCTTCAGTTGATTGTATTAGAATTCACTAGCTTTAGCCGAATTTGCTTAAAAATTTTTGATAACCGTATACCGCCGTCGGTTGAGACTCACAACTCAAAAGGTTTTGTGCTGTGGCAGTATTTAAGACAGGGATTTTGCCTCCAATAAATAAACTTAATCACATGATAAAACTTAATAGAAGCGACAACTGTTTTTAAAAAAGCAGTGCTAGTAATCCGGTAGAAGCCTCACATGTGTCATGGATTTTAAATTTAAATGAAGAAAAATTTCATTAACTAATAATGAGCTTATTTTAACGCATAGTTTCTGTCATCCCCAAATCAACCTAACACCAATTCACTAATAAGAGCGACACTTAAAATAACACTTAACCCCTCCCTTACGTAATGCCTTCTCTAATTTATACGCAGAGGCCACCTGAGTACACGTTGTTTGATCAGGTAAAGGGAATGGTTCTCAATTTCGTTAATGAAGCTGTTTTTGCTCAAGAACTTCCTTAAAAGCTGGTTGTCAGACTAATTTGATTCCAATCCTGATGATGAAGTAGAAGTGGGATTATATCAAACTTATAGGTGTGGTTGATTTGGATTTTAAGGTTTAATATTAATGTGTCTTTGTTTTGGTGGGCTGGAGGTGTTTTGCTGGATTGATAGTTAAGGCGCTCGGCTCCTCATGGACGAGGGTGCGGTTTCGAAACCTTGCAAGTTTGATGTGACGTTTTCCAAGTTATGGGATAAAATATGACGCTACTTATATGCGAATATGGAATCGTGACGAAACCTGACTTACAATTTTTCATTGTAAGTTTAGATTTGCCAATTCTATTTGTTCTATTCTGTATGAGAACCGACTCTGGGTCAGTAGTGGAGCCTTATAGGTTTGTGTTGTATGTGTAATATTTCAGCCATTTTTCGTAGTTTAATGACTCATAATATATAAAAAAAAAATATTTAGTATGAATCACGACAACAACATTCAGTTTTCTCATGTTGGCAGGCAAAAACTATTGAGTCAAATCTTCCACTACCGTAAGTCACCGATGACCTTTTTTTGTGATGTCATTAAATGATTTTTCTCGCCCAATGTGTCAGACTTACTGACTGAACACCCTCGCGTTCCTTCCCCTGCTTAAGGACAAAACCGCGGTACCTCATAGCACTAGCCCCGCAATGAAAGAACTCAAAAGTATATTAAAACCTTAACAACGTAAACGTTTCCTTTTCAGTTTCCACTACTGATATAATTAATCTATAATATCTATTTACATATAATTTGTTTTTCTAAAAAAACAAGACGACTTCCCTAAACTCGTACTAATAATACCAACCCACTAAAAAGTCTAAACAAAATAGCTTAATTCACTAGGTACACAAAACAAAAAAAAAACTTCAAAAAGTAATACAAATGTCTACAGAAAATAGCTATACAAAAACAAATAAACCTTCGAAAAATAATTTATGTTTGTAATATTATCACAAGAATACCCCATAGATGGACATCACACTGTCAGCTATTACGCTATAGCTACCTAGCTACATATATCTATATCTATATATCTTCGTCCTGTAATTCCGAGTGGCTGAGGAGCAAAATTTTCGCTGCGACTGTCCACCTGGCACCTTCATCGGACTCATAACATAGAGAGGGATGGAGACATTTTATCATTAATATTTTTTTGTTTTCGCTAAGCGCACGATGCTCATGTAGAAGTGTCCTGTTATAACTGAAAACTAGTAGAGCTATTGTCAGTTGATTAACGGGAGTCAGTCGCGATTTTTAAATTAATTTAGTTATCGCTCGTAACTCCTTTGTTGCTGGTGTCTAAGGCCGGCGACGATTACTGACCAACAAGTAATCTGTCTGTCTGTCTGATTGCAAACATATCACATATTAAAAAACATTAACGTCTTTACTTTTTCTTATATGGGTGCGTTAACAAACATACAATTCCACATACACATCACACCCAGACCCGAAACAACAATTCTTGGATCACACAAAGAGTTATTCCGTGTGGAATCGAAACCGAAACCGCGAAACGTTCTGGTAGTCAGTTGCCTAGCTAAAGCGTCAACTGTGTAGTCAAGCTATCATTTATAATTATTGTCAAAACACAATATACAGGGTGTAAAAAGACACTTAACAAAGCCGAATCGAATTCTAAGTATACATTACAAAACTTTTTTCCAAACAAACATTACCTGAATTTTCTATTTTTCTAAATAAATTATGCATTTGAAGTTACGAACAGTAATGTACGTAATAAATAAATGCAGACCCGCACAAAAAACATCGTGCATCTCAGTAGGATTTTTATTTTACAGAATTGTTTTGTTGTTGCGAAGTTAAACGTCGACCTACGTACTTATCACAGCGTTTTAATGCTAAGCTGTGAACCTTCGCACACAATGACACGAAGCCCGTTTGCTTTACATTGCGTGCAATAAAATTATTATTTTTTTTGATACCTAAAAATAAAAGTCGTTTCCCAGTGATAATTTTAGCGTAAAGCTACTTAGTTAGAACTGCAGTATGCGTAACTGCAACTTCGTTAAGTGTCTTTTTACACCCTGTACATATGTCAATTCAAAATAACAAAGTTTTAAACCACCTCTTAAAGTACCAAAGTAATTTATTTAAGGAAACAACACGCTCTTGTTCGAAATGTACGTAAAATATCTAGAATTCTAGACAGTAACGTTTTAATTGCTAAGTACCAACCTACATACCTGTCTAGGAATACGTTTAAGGCTGAAATGTCTTAAAATTTTCATCACAAGACATCTAAAGTGTCGTTCTAAACGAGGTAGTTAAAATTGTTCGTGACTTTTGGAACCAAAGTTAGAAGCTACAAGACTTTCCCTTGACTTTGTATTTTTTATGTAGTAATGATAGGAGAGCAAACAATCTATTTAATTACCTGATGGTAAGCAATCTCCGCCGCCCATGGTCACTTGCAGCACTAAAGAAGTTACGAGTGTGTTGACATTAACCTTTCGGGATAAGGGTTTCAAAATTGTAGATATTGGGATTAGGGATTTATATATTATAATGTTAGGGATCGGAGAGTTTTTATTATAACTTTCGTGAGACATTCTAAATTATTTATTATGTTTTCGGCTTACTCACGTAATAATTTGACGAGATACTCGACTAGTTTCAAGCCATGCTAGAGGCCCATATTCATAAGCAGCATTCCGCGACACGCGACTCGGCGACTGTCGCGCTGCTACTGAATACGGAATGCTGCGTCGAGTATCTCGTCAAATTATTACGTGTTTAAGCCGAAAACATAATAAATGATCGAAGAGTTGTTGGAGGAAAGGAAAAGAATTGGTATGCGAATAAAAACAAAAGATGCAATCTAAGAAATCTTTCAAATTGGCTACGCGACTGTCCGATAATTGAATGATTCTTCGAGGTATTGTTCTAGTATTTATTTAATAACTCCATAAGCAATGTAACCAGTAAAACATGATTAATTTAATAGATCCTCCAAAAGTTATATGTTCGTATACTGATTGATGGATTTTTCACATAATTGATAAGTTTTTTAAAATTATCGGCTGCATGACGTCACTGCAACACGAACCATGCTCATGGATAAGAGTCCCGTTATGACTTGAAACTAGTAGAGCGTTTCTCAGTTAAATTCACGTGAATAAGTTATTTACTACTAACTTTTGCCCGCGACTTTGTTCGCGTGGAATAGTGAATCCTGCAGATTTTTGGTATAAAAACTATCATATGTCCTTTCTCGAGTTCCAAACTATGTCTGTACCAAATTTTACAGAAATCGGTACAGGCGTGAAGATAAGACAGACAGACAGAGTAACTTTCGCATTTATAATATTAGTTTGGGTGAATATAGTTGATGAGTATTCTAAGCTTGGCTCCAGCTAATAATTATTAGTTGAATCGTGAAATTCTCTATAATACAGTGGAAGCTGTAATGAAGCCGTATTTCTGAGAATCCTGCCTTTGTGAGAAGCGAATGTCCTGTTATTATGCTTCCTATGTCAGCCTCTTTAATAAGTAATTTGTGCAATATTAATTCATGTCTACTTTAGTAGGTAGACAATATTTTATAGTAATTTTACTAACAAATATAAATATCTTAATTGAGCCAAAAATTTACATCGCAACACATAAACACAGTCACTTAAAGTAGGATTCCCTGTGCTTTAAGTGACAGTTTTATAATTCGCGGTTAACCTAATTAACGAATGAAATATAATAACATTCCGTAACAGAACAATAAAGATAACCATTTTTTTCAATAGAAATAAATAATAGTCTGTCAGTCTGTACATTGTTAATGAACCTAGGTGCTCGTTGCAAAAGTCGAGCAAAGGACAATGTGTATATTGTGCAATATACTTATTCTACTCTAAAAGCTATGTTTAATTAAAGACTAGAAAAATCACCAATTTGGTAGAATGCAAAGTTTAAATTATTTTTACACTCAAAGTCGACTCCACTGTGCCTCTATTCTGATCAAGGTAGCCAATAATTCAAATTCAATAATTCTCACAAATGAAACGCCTCCCGCCGTCTCCACA